AGTTGGGCCCATATATGTTCGCGATTACAATCACTGCCCCATTTATTTCGGCTTGCATGACAATATATCGCCCATTTTTGCAAGTGTCAATTCCAAGAGATTCTATTCTACTTCCTGGGAGCAGGAAGATGGCCACACCCCTACTCCTACTGTCGCCGTGGGCGAAGAAACATTTGCCGCCCCACTCGTTTCTAATGATTGCTTCTAATTGTTGGTCGCTGTGCGTCTCCTGCAATAATATTACATCGGCGTTCATGTTTTTCAGCCATGTAAACAGCTTACGTCGTTTTGGCACTGTGCCACTTGTTGCTTTGAGCCCATTTACGTTCAATGATACTATATGAATTGTCAGCTACTTTAATTCGGCGTTTGGCACGCCGACGCCACCGACAACCCCCGAGCGGCGACACGTATAGATTAACCACGGTACGGTGCGGCCCGGAGCACACACAACACCAGACACAGTTTTCTTAAAAAGCTAGCAACACATGCGGACACTTCACCGTCCCTTAACCTACGAAGCGAAAAACAAAAGCTGAGCGTAATTGCACAAAAGCTCCGAACGGGTCTTAGTCACGCGACATTCCTGTACACGGCCGGCCCCGACAGCTCGCAGAGCGGCCGCCGGGTCCAGTCAGCTCCCTATCTCGTCCCGCCCCTCCCTGACATCTGGTCTGGACCTCTACGCAGTCCAGGTATGACGTGACGTCACTGTGACACAGGAACGAAAAAACCTCAGGGGGGGGGGGGGTTGATACAACCCCCCCCCCCTAGGCGTTCTAGGGTTAAGGGAAAATCCTGAGTATGAGCGGCCGGCCGGCCGGCCGTGGGGACGCTCTTCAAAAGCGTCTTAGGAACGGGACATCCGATTGACAAGCGGTCTTCTTTACTGAATGTCACTTGGACGTAAAAGTTATGTGGTGTGATGGCCATCATGCGTTCTTGCCAACCACCGCACGTGGCGCGTGGTAAAGTTGGACATTTTTTAAGAACCCCCAAAATTGCAACCTCAATAACGGCGCAACGGTTGGGCCGATTGAACTGAAACTCGGTACACAGTAAGGTCTCCATCAGATAATTAACCCGCGCCCGGCTGGGGGTCCTGGATTTCCACGCCCTGCTGGGGGGGGGGGGGTGTTTGAACACCCCCCTTCTAACTCGGCTCCTGGGCCGCGTAGCGATACGCAGAAGGCGGCGTTCGAAAGAGCGTCAAAAATAATGAGGAAATCACTTCGGTCAATTTTTTGCTCAGGTCAAAGGTCAGGTCACCAGAGGTCATTGAAGGCAAAATTTCGCCGATTTCCAGGTCGAATGTCGAAAATTTCCAAGAAGCCCACGCATAACTCGGGAACGAAAAGAGCTACAGCGCCGCGGAAAAGCGCATTCGATAGCCCTATTAACGCCCTTTCTGAGTAATTTTCTCAGATTTGACCTAACGTCAACGGTTTTGCCTGCAGGGGGCAAAAACTGTAAAAATAGCCGATTTTTTCGGAAACAGTTTTTCTGCAATAACTTTTGACCCAAGCCTTGTACGAGCTTACTTTTACCGGCATCGTGTTCATCTCGTCAAGACGCATCGAATGAACTACAACTTGACCTTGAAAGGTCAACTTGAAAATTTGACCTCAGGTCAAGGTCATGACCTGACCGGAAAGGGTCATGCTGCATATCAGTAGATCCGTATCGTCGAGCTGAACACATCTAAGGCGTTTTCATCGCTCTAGCATGCCTCTATCAAAAGTTACTTGCGAAAACTGTTAGATACCATTCGTGACCTAAGATGACCTCAGGGCATAAACAGGGGTCACGGACACCATTTTCATGTTCAGTGTGTCTAAACCACTTGTAATTCAGTGTATAATGGGGAGGTCGCAAAATTGACCTGACCTTAGGTCACCGATATCAAAATTCTGAGATATACATTTTGTACATGCTCTTAGCAATCGCTGAAAGTTTCAAAGCAATCGGTCATTCGGTGTAGCTATGACAGACATTGAAACTTTTTATGAGGTGAGGTCACTTCAAGTGACCTGGTGACCTGACCTTGAATGACCTTGGTCTGAAATTTTCACAACATGTGTAGAATTGATGTATAATAAGGTGTACCAACAACGGCGGCGCTCCGCGCCGCCGTTTTTGAGATATTCGCGAAAAACCACAAGGGGGGTGTTCAAACACCCCCCCCCCCCCGCCAGCAGGGCGCGGGTTAATCTGCATGTGTTAAGGTTGGGGTGCTACAGCACGTGCGCACGTGCAGGGGGCGCTCCCAGATCTCGAGAACGGCTGGGCCGATTGCGCTCAAATTTGGTACACGGTTGGGGACCAGTCAGTAGGGTACCGTGCAAAAGTCAGTTTGGACCCCGCTTGCACGTGCGCACGTGCAGTGTGCCGCTTCCAGATCTCGAGAACGGCTAGGCCGATTGCGCTGAAATTTGGCACATCGCTAAAGACCGGTTAGTAGGGTGCAGTGCACAAGTTAGTTGGAGGTACCCCCTCGCAATTTCGCACGTGCAAGGCTCGTCCTCTCGCTCGCTCCGTTGGTCGCCCAAAAGGCGTTTTACTGGTTTCCTATCAATGACGGTAGAGTAGACAATTGTTCGAGTTTCTGTGCAGTTGACGAAGACACTCCTGAAGGATCCCGCTGACCACACATCTATGCATATTTGTGATGTTGAAGAAAAGTTTAGGTACATGAAAAGGACCAATATGTCTAGCCTTCTGAAAAAGTGATTTCGCCAAGTCGGTCAATAACAAAAGATGCTAAAAATGTCTTCGGATTTGAATAGAAAGATTCGTTCTGAATTAACGCCAAATATGAATCGACAATACACAAGGCCACAAGCACACAAACCATGGAGAAGCTGCGTGGTCGGCGGCTGGCACGAGTGTCCCATCTCTGTCCTGGCGTCGGTTCGCCATCCTCTCTCTCTCGGCGACCGCTATCGAATTAGCCGTCGGCAGTCGCCATAGTACAAGTTCGGTAATCAGATCAGCATATGGCGGCACAAGTTCCCGGAATGCTCCGGTGGCGCCCAGAGACCAGCGCGGACACCAGGAGTGTCTGTCTGCCCCCCCCCCCTTCCCTGTGACTTCCCGCCCCGCCAGACGCAGCACAAAGCACTCCGCCTCGTGACAAGGTCGGTGACACTGTGCATAGGTGAGATGCCGTCATTAATAACGCTGAAAGTGTATGCCACCCAGAGTAAGATTTGTTTCATCAGAAATCCCAGGGCAGGATGAAAAATGTGCTTTAGCTTCGCCGCCTTGCGTTATTAAAATTTATTGCATATCTTCAACCTTGAAAAGCTGCTTTTGTCAAAAACTCACGCAATGTGTGAATATTAGGTAGATATGCTTACATACTTTTTTGAGGTTGCTTGCTGTTTACAGGGACCCTCTGCTTATCAGTTATATTCATAATTATTTACTGCAGTTGAAGGTGCGTAGCAACATATCTTTTGTACACTCAAAGCACAAAAACAGTCATTCACACCATCGGAACCAAAGCGGCTCATTGCAGATCTAGCTGGGAGCCTTTACATTCGACAGAGCTCATTCCTCCAAGGAAATGTCAATGGTCATCGGTGGTTTCGAGGAGTTTCCCGCCGGATTTGTGGAAGAATTGCCTCAACAAAACCCAGATGTCCCTCTCCCACGCCCGCCCTCGGCTTCCGTCAAAGCTGAGCATGAATCGAATATCGAACGAGTTTGGTGGTGTCACAGCAGCATGATTTGTAGTGACTGCAGCATCTTCAGAATACCAACTACGGCAAGGTATCGGGAGACATAAATATGTGCAGTGTGACTATCTCTTGAAGATCGTATTCGCAGGCTCTTTTAACCCTATTCCTGGCGGGGGGCCTCAGGAGCCCCCCCCCCCTGAGGTTTTTTGGTTATTTCTCCCAAACGCGTTGAGCTAGGAAGCTCAAATTTTCTGACTTTTCCTAAAAGGCTTCTACGCAACATGTCTTAAAATTTTGAGTTGATCTGACCTCAGGTCAGGTCACCAGAGGCGGTTTGGTGACCCTACCTCAGAAAAGTTTGCAATCACGCCAGAGCTAGAGTTTTTGACCGATCAATTTCTTCTCTTCAGGCTTTAGTTAGGGTACCAGTATGTGCAATTTGTATATCTCGGAATTTTTATATCGGTGACCTAAGGTCAGGTCAGTTTCGCGACCTCCCCATTATAAGTCAATGGGGGAAAAATCAACTCCCTGTTTTTACCACTAAAACGGGTCGGAATGGCCCCATATACCATACATGACTTCATATACGATCAACCTTCACTACCTTGAGGTCTGTTTTGCTGTTGGGCAGCTGTGAGGTCATGTGACGTCATCAAAGGTCACCAAAGGTTTTTGGCCAATAACTCCGTACAGGAACAAGATACAGACGCGTGGATGGTCTCATTGTGTTCAGCTCGTCAAGACGCATCGAATGATATACATGATGACCTCGAGGTCACGTGACCTGAGGTCAACCTTTGACCTTGACCTTTCGAGGTCAACATACATATCATTCGATGCGGATTGACGAGAGGATCACGATGATGCCCTTAGTTTGTTCCTATCTTGACTAATTCGAAAGTTATTCGAGAAAAACTCTCTCCATATCTAGCGCTGCCATTTTGACTTTTTCGACCCCTGTGACGTCATCTTTGACCTGACCTGAAAATGACCTTTGTAAAAATTGTAGATCTTGACCGTGCGTATCCGATGCCGTTAACCGTTTGTCGCTGCGATGTGTAGTTTTTGAGATCTGAAGGGGGGCCGAATCGCCCCCCCCCCCCCGCCAGTTTCTTGTCCCGGCGGAGCCCGCCAGGAATAGGGTTAATTCATTCGCACTTCTGCCCTGCGTCTGTGCCCTCGTCCGTGTTCGTGTCTCTGTCGTATTCGTTTTACATCCGTGTCCGTATCCGTGTCAATATCCAGCTCATGTATGTGTCGATGTCCTTTGCCGTGCCCGTGCCCCCCCCCCCCCCCCACACTGGCGGCACTGACCGTGAGAATCGACCAGCGGGACGCTGCTCAGTTTCTTGTTTTCCCTCAGCACCTGCCGCAGCTGCCGGTGACTGATGCCGTGCCAGATGTACTTCACCTCACGCACCATTATGTCTTCCACGTATATCGAGTAGGCATCTATCGACATAAACACAATGGAAGACAACGGTAAAAAATAGGAGTTAGTGAAGCAATATGAATTGTCAAACAGTTAAGTGTCTTCTTTAGCTTGAACGACTCAACATCTCAGTGGCCGACATAGGCGACTGCTAACGATGAAATTCATTAACAAAGGAACCAATTATAAACAATTGTAGAACCTTTACATCTCAAATTTTATTATGATTTTTATAAGAAGGTAAACATCTTCGAACTGTTGTGGATGGCCATTGGCCAGTCATATATCGATGTTGAAAAAGACCAGCTGCGGTAAAGAACGCGTTTCACTCACTGGTGGAGGTGAGAATGTCTGGCAGGTAGGGCAGCTTCTTTATCTGGATGATGCTGTCGTAAATGGACGGCTGCAGGAGCTGTGATACGGCGTTCGCAATCAGAACAGCAATCTGCGAAACATCAGGAACGTTTTTTGCACAGATGACGGTGTTGAATACACAAAAAGAGCTTCCAAGATTCGGTAGGGTACAAGAATGATAAAGAGTTGCGACTTCAAAAGTAGCACATTCTTACGTCATCGCCATCTTGACACTGTTGATGTGACATCATTGCCTATCACATCACAGACAATGTGCCCGACCATGTAGCATGCCAAAGTTCTGCCACTGCGCATTGGCGTGATGAGGGGTCACCGGCCAGGTTTCTCAGAGCCAATCTCCCCGGTCTTTGCGGTACTGCTGATGGCAGTCAGTAGATTTCCGGTAGATTTGGCCGATTCTGCCCCAGCGGTCAGCGCGCCCGGGGAGATTTGGCCAGATTTCCGCCACAGACCCTGCGGTTGCCGCCATATCTAGCAGCCGTGCTGTTTCGGCGCCGTGCTCGCTGTGACCCGTGATGTGACTGGATTGGGGCGGCCCGGTCGTGTTATTTTTCCGACCACAGACGTAGCCGTTTCCACACAATCAGCAGAAGTAAGCCTGTCGTGGTGTCGCCTCAAAGTGGTCCCAGAGGCCCTATGGCTAGATCAGGGGTGATAAATTGGCAATGATTTCAACAATATGAGCAAGGAATAATAACGCTACTTGCAGCCATAATTAGCAATCAGCATGTCCTTAATTTACTTTCCATTTTCATAATTTATTTCTAACATATGGCGGTATGGCCAGACAATAATTCAGAGAAACTGGGCACCTCAAGCTCTCTCAAGATTTCCATAATATTTTTCTACCTCCGCTCGTGCCATAACAGTCGATTAGACAGCAGCATTATGGCAACAGATCCTTCTAATACCGGGCGCACCATTCAATACATCACGTGGCTGGCGAAAACAGGGCCATTTCTCGTGGCGGCACACGGTCGGCCGGCGCTGGAGGGCGGTGGCGACCCCCACCGGACACGATTTGGTAGCCGAGGTCTGTGACGTCAGCCGGGCGTGAAGTTTTCCCTTCACCATAGGCTTCACACACAAACCGGCCGAAGTTCATGCCAGGATAGCCCGGCTTGAAAGTGCAAAAATGATTAAATTTTGCCCTCAATAGATTCATTGCTTCATTTTATAACTAAAAACGTCCGTTATTAGGACTCAATGAAGGTAAAAAGTACTCAAAATCGAAGTTTAAGAAAATGCTGTCCGAGCACAATCTGGTAACATCACGTGACCTCTTTTAAGCAGAATGTATATAATTCAAGGATGTTATTACACGATTGCTGCCTAAAACATCATAAATAATACGCTTGTAACATTTATTGCTTCTGTTTAAGTCATAACATTGCTAAACGCAAAGTTTATCATGGAAGTCACGTGACCAAAGGTATAGCAGGGGTTGGGACAAGCACTCAAAGGATTTCAAGTTTTTTAATTAAATTATATAAGTTTCATGATGAAATTGATAGAATGTATTTTTTCCTAATGAAATACAAATTTTCGTATGTAAAATATTTTCCTTATGGGCGAAATTCTCCATATAAGAAATGTCAGTGACGTCACCAGGGCTTTACTGGGCTTTACTAAAAACATCGGACCTACCTGTTTCTTATAGGTATCTTGGGCGGTGGCAGCCCGTGGCAGCCGGCTGGAGGCTGGCTGTCGGCCTGACTGGCACCTGAGGCGGCGTGCCGCGCTCTCACAGACACCTGTCCGCTTGACAGACGTCTCGAGAGGAGCGGGGCCACACAGCCGAGAAGGAGAGGATACGCACAGCCACAGAGTGGTCTGAATCTGGACGCAGAGAGTAGCTTGAGATGCGAAGTGGTTTGAGATTGGAAGTTCAGTGGTTTTATCGGGACACAAAATGATAAAGCATAAAAACAGTAGGGTTGACAGTATTTCTGAAAGATACCTGAGGTGCGCTGAAATTCAGGCTCCATTTCATGAGACGACAAACAGGTTTCCTTATTTGTCAACTTCCACTGTTTGCATAGCTTGACTTTTCTATGTAACACAGTACCTACCTATTGACAAATGACAAATATTTCTTCAATAGCCCAGAGACCTGTAACTACTGTTTACGACCTACCAGTAATGATTGCGCCAAGGTGCCCCTGCATATTCCCTGCCTCAAATGCATGTTAGAAAATCAAATTGATGTCATTAATGCGATTCAAAGTTCAATGCATTCACTTTCATACTTCCACGATTTAATAACAACGTTACTGAAGCGTGATCGCGAAATCCACGTAGGTATCAGCTAGAGAAAGTCTTTCGTAGCGTAAAAGACCTCCCACGAATTCTTTGTTTATCTGCATTTCAAATGCGTCCAAACGTCGGGCTAGCAACAGGCCTGCATTTGATGCGGCAAATTTACTACTGTTCCATAATGCAGCGCTGTTATGGAGAAACGTTGAATTATTTCCGTCGCTCTCCGCGTATAGACTCGCTAGCCGCACGCGCAGCTCGAACTCACCATGACTGGAAGGATGTGAGTGATCTGTCCGGTGAGCTCGAACACAATCACTGAGGTAGAGATGGTGTGCGTGACGGAGCCGGCCAGAGCCGCCGCGCCCACGATCGAGTAGCCCCCTGAAACGGACGGGAAATGAGCTGGGGCGACGGCCGCGCTGAGCTGCGGCGGGGTAGACTGACCCGCACGGCACGAGTGCGTTGCGGTACAGCCTACCCTATCAGGTAAAACGAGGAAAGCGGTTCTACCAGTTCAAGCGTCCGAGTATTCCAAAGACCGCAGTGTTTATCAGAATCTGATGTAAGATAAAAGATTTGTATCACAGTGGTATCTCGTCACTGGCACTGAGGAGAACTTGCAGCCAAACTTAGCAGATAGCACAAAAGTGACGTAAGCAATTGGAACTTAGCCTGGTGCCTTGCGACGTCCATGCCGACTTTTAATTTGAAGTTCCGACCAGCACAAAGGCACGATCGGCCTGGCAAGGCCCGTTCGCTGGTGTGAAATGGTACGACAGAGCAAACAGACAGGCCAAACACAGGGTATGGCGCAGGGCCAATCAGTCCCTGTCCAATTCGATCTAAAGACGGCACGCCCGCAGACGCTGGGCCTCGAGAGTCGAAGGGGAGCTCGGTGGACGTCCGGAGCAGTGGTGTTTGGCACCATGTGCAAAATAACTGGACGATTCGCGTGGCTCGAGCCTCTCGGGTGACGCGAGACGGTGAGTTACAGCCGCTGGCCACTGGGTTCGCGGCGGTCAGCTGACCCACTAAATATCCCAGAAAATGACAGCTGATCTCCTGTTTTTATTTTCAGTGGCAAGTCAACAGGGTCATATGCCAATGTGGTGTGATTTGTGTAAATGCTAGATAAAAATCAAACTAAAACGTCTCCAATAAGCTTGAGACAGATGTCGTGCGCATGCTAATGCTGTCACTTGAGCGCTGAAAAATAATGAAATAAAAATAAAGTCTAGTGCTGGCGTGTTTCCGGTTGCAAATTGTAAGTCAGCTGGCCCAATTGACTGAAAGACAGATAGCTATATGGAATCGGAAATTTGGTTTAGAATCGACCGAAAGCAGCTACAGTGCAGTATGTTCATGTTCAATGCTCAAGTGATCGAAAAATTTCTATGAATGAAATATTGCAGGCCGTAAGCATGACTTTCTATTTCTAGTGAGGACTCTAAGTTCTTATTCTAAGTGAGGACAGCATTTTCGCTTATCCAAAAACATCAACAAAGTAAACATGACTTTCTAACTACTTCTAATTTCTAACTGAGGACAGCATATTCCCGTTTGTCTAAAACATCAACAAAGTAAACATGGCCACATGGATTAGGTAGTAGTCAATGTTCAACACCGTTTGTATTACACGTATACTGCCAATGTATGCATAAAGATTGATAGTTACATATTTAGAGCGCAATTCCGTTTATTACGGACCGTTCTTCCCCACAGCCTACCTGGCCGGATTGGTGAGATGTGTCCGCCGTAGCGCACCCCCTGTGGAAACCACATAGCCAGCAGCTCGCCAACCAGACGGCCGAACGCCGCGCCCATCTTGAACACCGGGATGAAGATGCCCGAGGGTACCGGCAGCGTTGAGGCCACCACGCACATGCCAAACTGTAACACAGGAGAAGGGTGGTCATTAACCCGCGACCTGATGGGGGGGCTATTTTTTGCCCCCCCCTCCAGACTTTTCGATATATCTCCAGAACCGCTGCGCCGATCGTCACCAAACTTTCAGTACCCTCCCGGACATCAATTTTACACATTGTGACCAAATTTTTTCCAAAGGCTATGATAGGTTGGCCGGAAACTCTTGACGTCATGTTCTGCCGTTTTCGACCCAAAAAAGGGCTTCGCGGGAAGAGCTGTCAGGCCTATAGCTTTGCAAATACAGAAAAATGATAAAGACATAAAAGCTGTAGATTGGACAGGGCTACAAAACTACTATCTCGGATTTTTGAAATTTTTGGATTTTGACCCCCAAAAATAAAAAAATAGATTTTTTGGATATAATAATCGAACAATCCAAAAAGTTTTTTGAATTTCGCAAAAAACAGAATATATGTGATATTCCTTACCGCCTTCCATCCACATACCAAATTTGAGATTGATACCTCTTTTTTTGGCGAAGTTATAGCGAAAAAACTTCAAAATTGATGACGTCAAATTTTCAAACTCAATTTTTAGCAATTCTAGACCCCGTAGCGCAAAACAAAGACCACCATTAGACTCCCCGTGACGAGCTGCATCGAATCAATACCCATTTTATGCAAAACTATCAACTTTAAAATTTGACCTTTTTTGGCCTGACCTTGACCTGACCTTGACCTGAACTTCACCAGAAAGTGACCTAAGCCGTACCTGATAGTCTTATAACCAACATCATTGAGTTGGAAATGAAAAATTGGCCATAAAACATGTATCACACAACCTTAGTAAAGTTGGGCTCATGTGACCTGACCTGTGACCCTTGGTGACCTGACCTGTGACCTGACCTGGTATTGCCAGTGCCTCTAATAGCAACATATCTACTAGGCAACTGACGCCCTACCGCTGATTCTCGACAAAATGCGTTTTCCTCGGTGTTATAGCGCATTCCCTAGATGACCCGTGAACGGTGAAACATTTCATCTTTGACCTGACCTGTGACGTCATCGGTGACCCCGAGGTCAATTAAATTTGGTTTCCCACGACAAATTTGACAGGCCTTTCGAACGCCGTTTGAATTTTGCGGATCCGTCCAGCAGTTTCGGAGATACGAGGGGGGGGGGGGGCAAAAAATAGCCCCCTCCCACCAGGTCGCGTTATAAACAGACCCCACCAGGGCGCGGGTTAACAGGGGTGTAAAGAGTAACATGCGGATTGGGGATGGAGCTGATGACAAACGGGAGGCAGGACGTGACACACAGGGTCATAAGGTCCAAATGACCCCGTGATATATAAGTAACTATGTGTCAGTTGCCCGTACGGAGCTCGAAAGTTCATGTTGGGTGGGGTGGCAACGGGAAAAGCTAATAAAAGTACAACACATTAAGCGATCAGTCGTACTTTCTTCTGATCAGTATTTCGGTCACGAAGGGTGGGACTTGAAATGGAAAAAGCCACTCTGATCGGCGAAGCAATTGAGCGGGTCTCCAAACTCTAAGAAAAAGGAACAAAAGAGAGCCTAAAACGAGCGGCATCGATGTGATTGGCCGTGTGGTTGTGTGCTCCTTGGAGTTGGCAATAGGAGGCGTGACAGGACTGCGAGGGCAGCAGAGCACGGCCCATCAGTGAGACCGCACTGGGGCAGCGCTAATTAAGTTACGAACAAATGTAGAGGAAAAGGGCATCGGGTACTCGGAAGAGAGACACACGTCAGCCGTTGTCTCTGTTACTTTGGGTCACATGACACAAACCATCCTAATAATAATATACACAAAGAATAAAGGAAATAGTTGGGTGAAGCAAAGATAAGAAGGGAGCGGGATAGGCCACGTGTCGTTATACGCATACAAGGCAAGGTTACAACTTAAAACATACCATATAATGCCGTATAAATAACGATAAATACCGGTTATCATTTCGAAGTTTGTGAATGTTTAGAGGAAGAAGCAAAAAGCTTTCGACTTTATTTGACATAAGATATGGATATTGATGGATATGATCGAACCACCCGAAACATAACGATCGTCATAAAAGCGGCTTGACTGTAACTTATCACACGAGTGATTTGAGATGCGGGCCTGTTCCCCATTACAACGCCGCAGCAGCAGGGGCCACACACTGATGTTTGTTTTCACTTCCCGGCGTACCGTCGTCTGACGGATAACAGTTATGTGTCGTGACAAGAAACCAGACTCCTCTAAAAACTGACAGCTCTTGCCACCTAATCTCCTCATATAGATGCGATTTTAGCAGTCTGTATACCCCGTGTCGCGTCCAAGCCGACGGAACGAAACGTCACAATTCTCTGGACCGAAATAAATGAGAGCTGAGAGTTATTTATGACATGGTGCGGAGATCGATTATGAAGGCCACCCTGAATCCGAGGGAACGTATTGTTTTAAAGGACACGGTGCCATTTATTTTCTCTGTCTAGCCAGAACAAAGCGTTCCAGATATCTTCGAGAGAAAATGTAAGGGATACAGGTCCTCTAAAATAGATTTAAATGACACAAGTAGTCACCATCTCTTAGTTATGCAGCATGCACCAGTGCCATTCAAATAGCAAATATGTAAATGATATGAAAAAGTGTGATGGCGGCAGGCTATACGAAAAATATCCATCTTTCCCTCTTTGTCCCAAGTTTAAAAGAGACGCCTAGGACCGCATTCTACATGAACGGATTTAAAAAAGGAAACGCGGTAAACAATCACGAATGGACAATGGACATAACAAAAAGCCGAAAAGCAAGCTGCAACAAATGCACACATATCTTCAGCAAAAAGACGATAACTCAAGGATCTCTTATAATCGAAGCGCGACAACCCACGGTCGTGTCGCAGTCTCTACTCACCGTGACTAGAATGTAGATGCAGAGGTTGGCGTAGAAGCTGGTGTACGGGTTCGTCCAGTGATTCACTGCCTCAGCCTCGTCCACCGTGAGATCACTTGAGGACCAGGTGAAGTTGGCAAACAGCTCCAGCACCTGACGTAAGGATCAGTCAGTAGAACAGGAAGTCATGATCTTTGCAAATGTGTTGTGGCATTTAGAGTGGACACTGCAACCCCTTTGTCTTCAAGCAATGAATTATTTGCGCTCTGTGCTTCGTGACATTGTCTTCATTGAGGGAGGCTTAATCAACTGGCATTAATGACAACTGTGTGATGTAAGGAAATTATATTTGTAAAGCTTATCTATAATATCCTTTTCCTTCCCATATCATACAAGGGATGAGCCGGTAAAAAGTACATACGTACAGAGAAATATCAGACAATCGTAAAGTACGACATGGAAGTATGCTATGACAGGCCCAGTCGGCCGCACCAAGCGCCACCTGCTGACTGAGCAGAGAACCAGAGCTTGCTGACCTGATCGTGAGTGGTCTGGTCCGCTGCCAAAAACTGTCCCAGCCCCAGCGGGAACGTCGTGGATGAGATCAGCAGTGCCACCAGAAACGGGTACAGGAACCGGCTGCAAATGGAGAATTACACTGTGAGCGAGATGCAACGCTCTCCTGAAAGATCACACGGCTTTATCGTACTCCATGTCTATACAACAGCATACAAATAACAATTAACAATACAATAACAACAACATACATTGAGGTACCTATTCCTGGGCGCTGGGTGATACACGATAAGTGTTCGGAAATACACATTTACAAAAAGAAACATATGATCATTAACCCGCGCCCCGTAGGGCTATCGGCGGACCCTACCACCCGTAGGGGAGGGGCCGTTTCGGCCCCTCCCCCCTAAGATCTCGGAAATTTAACGGCCGATTTTCACAATTCAAACGGTGTTCGATAGCCCCACCGGGGAACTACCTTGTGACCGAATTTCATGGACCTAGGTCAAACCGATGACGTCAAAGGTCAGGTCAAAGGTCGGATTTTCACAGTTCACAGGCATTTCAAGAAATGTGTTGTGAAGTCGAGTAAATTGGTAATTTATTGAAAACCATCGATGGTACATTGTTCGTCAAACACATACTTTGCTATCTGAGGTCACTGATACCAGGTCAGGTCACAGCGAGGTCAGGTCACCGGGGGTCACAATATCCCTCGCCCGTATTGGTGTTTTTCCAGCCGCGAACGTATAAGGGGGGAGGAGGGTTCCGTTGGACCCCCCCTTGCCGTTTCGCCCCTGATCGAGCTAGAGCTTCGCGGAAAAAACGAGCGTGTTGCCCGTGACGAAAGAAAGCCGATGATACCCAATTTTAAGGTCCTAGGTCATTGGTTGACCTTGCATGTCAGGTCAATGACCCCAAAGGCGGGAAAATCGGGACCTGTTAGATCGTCGTAAAGTGTGGTTGCTATAGGGTTTTTCGGGGTGCTGATCACGAATATCATGCTAGTTTTGATCACAGATGATGTCTTCATGTATTTAGGCCAGGTCGGGTCAGGTCAGGTCAGGTCAACCAGTAAGGGTATTCGTAGTAGGTGGCAACCGCCTCTGACAGCTTCGTAATATGTTACGAAGGCACCAAAACTACTTCGTAAATGTTCAAATGGTTGCTAAATTCGAATTCAGCTCCAAAAACTGGCCTAGAAACATGTAAAACTCGAAAATGTGAACCGAGGTCATCAAAGGTCAATTACCTGACCTGACCTTCAGGTGACCTTGACGTCCACCCTAATGCATGGGGGCAACATCATATCACATGTTTGAACGCTTGAAACCACGAAAAGACTGCAAACGCCCGGCTAATGCGAGCCGACATACGCCGAATCGCGATTCCAGCCAAACATGGTCTCGAAAAGTAGGTCACAGGTCAAAGGTCATTTGGGTCCGGGTCATGAAATTTTCAGGGTAGGTGTGAAATTGATGAACGCGAGGGTACTGAAAGTTTCGCCGCGATCAGCCGCTTTTTACGCGAGTTATTCGCGAAAAACCATGGGGGGTCCGTTCGACCCCCCCCCCCCTATACGGGCGAGGGATATGAAAGTGTGGTGTGATACATGTTTTATGGTCCATTTTACAAGACAAATGCGATTATGTGGGTTAGGCAGCCTTTGGGGCCAGCCTGGGTCACATTTTGGTGAAGGTCAGGTCAAGGTCAGGTCAAATTAGGTCAAATTTCAAAGTTGATATTTTTGCATAAAATGGGTATCGATTCGATGCAGCTCGTCACGGGGAGTCTAATGGTGGTCTTTGTTCTGCTCTACGAGGTCTAAAATTGCCAAAAATTAAGTTCGAAAATTTGACGTCATCATTTCTGAACAGTTTTTTTGCTATAACTTGGCCAAAAAACGAGGTATCGATATGAAATTTGGTATGTAGATAGAAGACGGCAGGTACTATCACAAATATTCCGGTTTTTTTTCGAAACTCAAAAAACTTTTTGATTTTTCGGCTAATATATAAAAAAAAATGTTTTTTTTATTTTTAGGGGTCAAAACTCAAGAATCTCAAAAATCCGAGATGGCAGTTTTGTAGCCCTGTCAATTCTACACCTTTCAAGTGCTGACCATTTTTCTGTATCTTCAAAGCTGTAGGCCTGACAGGTCTTCTCGCGAAAGGTCTTTTTTCGGTCGAAAATGACAGAACATGACGTCATTCTGACGTCATTTGTGGCCGTCCTATCATAGCCTCTGGAAAAATTTTTAGTCACAATGTGTAAAATTGATGCCCGGAGGGGTTCTGAAAGTTTGGTGGCGATATCTCTAGCCGTTTAGGAGATATCGACGGACAAGGACAGGGAGGGGCCGTTTCGCCCCCCCCCCCCCCTACGGGGCGCGGGTTTTGATTAATTACCTATGTGAGGAATAAGCTATAACGCTGTGAAATACGCTGAAGTATGATATCTGCAAAGGGATTAATGTAATCAGCTGCTTTATGTTGGAATCTATTAACACGCGCAGTGGAAGGGGGGGGGGGCGGATTTCGCCCACCCCTCCTGTTTTTCGCCAATAACTCGCGCCGCAAACATAATATTAATGTGAAATTTTGGCTACCTGTCCAAAATTAAATTGCGGATCTTCTCGTGCAAGAAATAAGAAAATCGGTTCACAACTTTTCTAGTAATGGCGGTGTAAAGTCAAACATCCTGCCGCCGCGGCGCCGCGGCGGCGCGGCGGCCGGCGCTATCCGTTACGCGCCGCCTGAATTGTAGACTGTGCCGGGGCGGGACGGTTCCGTCTTTACATCGCGCTCCCAGGCGCGTAACCACCACTGGGGACACCGGGGACCAGTCCCCAGTAACTTTTGGGTTACTGGGGACCGTCCCCAGTAAAACCGACGACCTCCTCAGTTTGCTTAAATAGCCAAATATTGTCTCTAAATCGACGTGAAGAGTAATATGTAGTCAACGGAAGACAAAACAATGGATGGATGGAACAAAATGGATGTTTTGTTTAGCCAACGCCCAAGTGGGCCCCTCAGCCAATTTCGCCATAGGGGTTGGGGCCTGGGGGCTTTTTGGCCACACCAGATTATCTCGGAAAGTAAGCAAGCTAGAAAGACGCGGTAAAAAGCAACAGAGAGCTCGCTACAGTATCTTTCAAGAATAACCTATGTCATGTTTTATCGTCATCGCTGAGGTCACTGGTGGTCACTAAAGCTAAAACTCTCACGAACTTTTGTTCCCAATTTTGACAACTTTTCACAAATCGGCGCATAAGTCAGGAACCAATAGAGCTGCGTGCTGCGGAAAGCGCATTCGATAGCTGTTTCAAAGGCCTTTCTGAGTAATGCTCTCAGATTTGACCTGAGGTCAACGGTTTAGCTTCCAGGCTAGCGTTTCATTAATGCCGCATTTGCCGTTGCTGAAACTCGTTGGCTATATTTCTGGCTAACATTTTTTCACGCCGGCGGATATTTTTTCGCCTGATTGGTGAAACTCGTCAGCGGTTTTTTGATAGAAAAATTGCGTCAGGCGGCTATTTTTCTGTTGGTATAGCTGACCTCTGGTGACCTGACCTTAGGTGACCCGGGGTAAAAAATTCACAGACGATGCGAAATTTAGGTATCATAACCTATACCAAGTTTCGCGGCGGTGCGCGCCACGGTTACACGCGCAAAAAAAAACTGGCAGGTCTGGCCAAAAACGTCCCCCCCCTCAGGCAAATGCTGATCCTAAAATATAATATTTGGTCTTCGCGGCCCTCCATGTGGTCCCCAGTAACTTCAGACTCGTGGTTACGCGCCTGCGCGCTCCTTACTGCTGATTACATTAGATTCGCATCAAATTTGGTGAGAAGACTGAGAATTGTACAGGCAAACATATGGTCAAAGAATTTTGAAAATCGGCCGGTAACAACTTGAGTTATGAGTGTGTAAACACAAAAATGTGATTGCCGCGTTTCCCGCGTCGGCCGATGCCGCTTCAGCCGGCGACATCTTACCCTTAGCAGGCTTCTAACTGCCATATTGATTGTTGGAGTAACTAGAAATTCACCATACATACTCGCAAATGTTTGGCCTTTCGTACAGTGAAAGAAAAAAGAAAATCGGCCGGTAACTTTTTGAGTTAGCGGCGTGTAAACGCAAAAAAGTCGCTCATATGGCAGATTTGACCACATTTGACCTCATTTGACCTTGAAGATATTGACCTAGGGTCATGAAATTCACAAACAACAGAGTTCCCTATGGCCTCCACCTACCCTCCGAATTTCGTTTTTCTAGCTCCAGTGGGAGCTGAGATCTTAGGGGGGGGCGACATCCCCCCCTTCCACTGGGCGTAGTACTCGCAACCCTTCCACTGCGCGTGTTAAAAAGCACTTACTTCCTGGACAAGAAGCTCTTCATACACGAATTACTTCTCATGAAGACGACGTATCTCCTATGCAGCCACACGAAGAAAGCACCAGCGAACCCGGCCACAGCCCTGCGAAACAATGCGAGTAAAGACGACTCAACAGTATTTATGCATTCACATCATGCACACACTCGAGCTATATGCGAGGCAACAAAGAATGCACCTAGTATGTCGCATGCTATATTTTGCGTCTTAGCATCCTTAAATAAATCATTTTGAACGCACGATTTATGTTGAATTATTCTGAAATCGTAGCTATATGCAACGATTCAATCTGATATGTGCATTACGTTACTCTTATCGGTGATCGTTACCATCATAGCATCACAGGAAAATGAATATAACCTGTCCAGATTACAGGTGTTACATTCATCAATAGTTACAAACCATATTATATATGCAATTACGTACCCAATTAAAGCAAATACGAATAGCTCTTGCGGATCGAATGGGAAATCCACCTTGAAATCCGTCTTGAATAAGGCAGTTATCGTTTCTGGAAAAAGATATGTGGTGAGATCACATGCTGGTGTGGATACGCACATCAGTCTCCAGCAGATGAACAGTGCTACCAACAAAACCCTTCACGAGACTTCGTTATCACCCTATGCACACACGCGGGACTGTGCGCTTTGCAACAGCACAATACATTTGAATACACATTAATTAAACACTGTTCAAAAAAATACTTCCAGCAATTACGAAAAGCCGCCATTACGTTATCCATGCGAGAAACTCATAATGCATTCATGTTTTGTGCGGTGCTATATGCACCATGCATATATCCTTCGCCCCAGTGGGGGGGGGGCATATGTTACCACCCTGTCGCGTTTTTCGCGTGTAAATAAAAAAGCGCGGCGCGTAGCGCCGCGCCGCTTGGGGTAGCTTTTTGTACATCAATTTTGGACAATGTGTGAAATTTTTGACCCCAGGTCATGTCAGGTCAGGTCACCAGGTCAAGTTAACTGACCAAGCCCAAAAAAAGTTTGCAATCATGTCCAGTCTGCAGTGTTTGTCAGAAAGGTTTCAAACTTGGTGGATTGCATGATGTTATGGGCGCCTACAATTTGTATATCTCGGATTTTTTTATATCCGTGACCTAAGGTCAGGTCAGTGGCGTGACCTTACCATTAGGGGAAGCGGGGGAACACCGCCACTGTGGGAAACACCGCCACCCCATCTGGCGGCGAAAGTATGAACTATAAAGTGTAAAAATCCGTTATTTCCTATTAACCGCACGAAGGTAAGCGTCTTCTGATTTGTGTTCCGGTGTTTCAGTGTAATCGAAGCTCATTGTGGGCATTTAAAGAAAAATGCACATTCTCTTATTAAAATTCGATGAGTTGGGAGCACTTTTGAATGTCTTTAAGTAAAGACTCATTTTGATTTACTTGATTACATCGAAAAATAACTGATCGGCTTTGTCCAGTAAGATAGGTTTGCTTGAACCGTGTAGTACATTCTTGCCGCTGGCGATTTTTGCTTGTGATCACTTATTGGGGAACACCGCCACCCCGTGGCGGTGTTACCCCAATTGAGGTTGCGGTGTTTCCTGTTCGTAGCGTGATAAGTGATGAAATTCCAAAGACACGCTTTACTTATGTTCGTAGATGTTTCTAAGTCGGGAATAAGCAGCTTATTTGACTTTTTACTTTATATTTTTCATGCATCCCGACCAAGCACTTGCCAGCTGTATAAAACTGGCAAACAGCTGATGAACCTATACCTATTTAGGTGTCCATTACCGATTATTTGCGAAAATTACCACGTTAGGCGGCACGCGTATTTACAAATTGCAACCGAGCTCCGCCGTGGGGTAAGGTGGGCAGGGGTTTTCGCACTACGGCTGCGGTTGAACTACCGTCTGTGGTAGAAACTTCAGGACGATGGCGCGTTTCATACGAAATCTGGCGCAATGTTTGTTTGCTTCTGTACTTGTACTGTTATTTGCTGTGAATTCTTGAAGTGGGAGTGTTTCAATAACAATTTATGGATTATTTGAGTTTCTTTATATAAACATAATACTGATATGATCAATTACTTAGTTTGGGAATTGATACCAGGGTTACCGCTGCTAGGGAAATTTCCCTTTTCTATGGAAATCAGCGAAGATCTAGGGATCTATGGATTTCACACGAAATCTAGGGAAATACCACAAACCCGAAAAATTGTTTTTTCAACAATCGAAATCATTTCTTAAAAATAAATTTAGTCCAAACCTTTTGATAGGAAGGATTCACAAGGACAGAGCCACCGCTAAGCGAAGCTTGTTGCGGTGACCCTGCCCTCTACCCTCCGATCGCGCAATTCCAGTTCTATGGCAGAATTTAGAGTCCAAAGTTAAACGTTCGCACATAGCCGCGCCCTCATAGACGGCCCCCTCACTGACTTCGCCTGGCTACGGCCTGCCACCAATCGCAACCATACCTGTCAGGAGGCCCATATATGTCCAGCGCCCGTCGCGCTTCGAACCCAGACTGTTATAAGCGGGAACGCATGCTCTCACCACGCGGAGTCCAATGCTCTACCAACTGAGCTACGGGATCGGCTCTCCAACGCTTCACCAACAGTGAGCTACGGGACCGGGTCTCCAACGCTCTTTGTTGTCTCCAACCCTTGTTGAGCGTTGTCTCCAACGCTCCATTGTTGTCATGAATTATTCTTCCGCATGTCATATCAAATAAATATGGGAACATTTTTCACAAAATTCAAGTTTGATGCTCTCGTTTTAAAGATATAAAGGGAATTAGGTACATATGTATGCATGTATATATAATGCTTGCTATTATTTCAAAACAAACTCCTTCTGCTTTGTACCATTTCGGGTGCGGCTAATTTTTTACATCAAAGTTTTTGTTTTAGCGCGATTTTTACAATGTCTAGCGCGTATCACTTCCATACGGTCAAACTGACGGTGCAAAATCAAATAGGTAATGCATCGACTCTAGTGATGTCAATAACGGAAAATCGGAATACCGATACCAAATCAAATGCCAACCGAAACCACGGGAAAATACCGAAACCAAACCAACTTGGAGAAATGAGGGAAATACCAATTTTTTACCGATTTCTTAGCCTCTTATACATTAGTGAGGGTTTATGATACCAACAAAATACCAAACACATTACGATTGAAATACCAAATACCAAGTTGGTATCGGTTTGGTATCGGTAGGTATACCAAAAAGTTGGTATCCGATTGACATCTCTAATCGACTCGTCTCTTACGCCAGCACTACCGCTTCCCATACGGTAGTTTCCCGCGTCGGCCGCAACACACCACAATTTGCGATACCTATACCACAAAATTATATTATACCACATACAGTGATTTGCTATACCTATGCCAGCCATTTCATTAGAATCTCTGACGCTAACGTCACAGAATGTAGTTCATTGCTGTTTTGGGACGCAACGACTATAACACGAATGGTTAAAATGATGAAAGTACGTCAAATTCCATGAAAAGAACCGCATCTAGGGAAATGATTTTCAAAATAGGGAAATTTTCGTGAGAATCTGGGGAAACCAGCGAGACGCCAGCGGTAACGCTGATTGATACACATTTTGTAGAGATTTGTCTGGCAAATGGTGTAACAAACCTCAAGCCTATCATGATCTGAAGCTGTTATAGGTAACATCAAAATTGCTTCAATGTTACCTTGTACCTTGTTGGAAAGACTGGAGCATGGTTCAATATGATGCGTAAAAATTCAAGATTTGTGCGAAAGCTTGTGACTGAAGAACGAAAACAGTTTGATATGATGGCTCAATCAAACGTGGAAATGGACGACAAAAGTAGGGTTTCAACATTCCAGCATGTGAGAATAACTTCAGAAATTCATAGTTCTTGTAGTATTGCATTCTTCTTATGTACAGTTAATAGGTTTTGTTAGGGTATTTCAAATTCATTGTGTCAGTTGTGAGTTGAGACATAGATGGATTGCGGAAAGTTTTTTAGAATCATTGTATGGTTCCTAGCTAGGTACCTACTTGTTCGGTAAAAAGGTATGTGATGAATGCCATGAGAAGGTTTTTTATGATTTAATATATGGTCGTTGTTGTACCTACAAAAATGCAAGCTTACTAGCAACTAGTTTCTGAATCAAATCGAAAGTACCTATTTGCCATGAATGTAAATATGTACCTGCAAAGTATGTCAATAAATTTGTGTGATGTTGACCAGAGAGTTTTATCATCTGGGCATTTATGTCGCTTCCTACATTAGGTGTTAAGCATAGTAATTACGGATGAACTTTGTGCCAATATCTTCAATGCACATTGCACAATGTATTAGCATGTCTACAACCCTCACTGATCCTGCTATAGCTATCACCAGTATAACGCCTTATGGGGCGACTAACGGAGCGAGCGAGAGGGTGGGCCTTGCACGTGCGAAATTTCGAGGGGGTACCTCCAACTGACTTGTGCACGGCACCCTACTAACCGGTCTCTAGCGATGTGCCAAATTTGAGCACAATCGGCCCAGCCGTTCTCGAGATCTGGAAGCGGCACCCTGCACGTGCGCACGTGCAAAATGGGTCCCAACTGACTTGTGCACGGCACCCTACTAACTGGTCCCTAACCGTGTACCAAATTTGAGCGCCATCGGTCCAGCCGTTCTCGAGATCTGGAAACGACCCCTGCACGTGCGCACGTGCAGCAGCACCCCAACCTTAACACATGCAGATGAATTATCTGATGGAGACCTAACTGTGTACCGAGTTTCAATTCAATCGGCCCAGCCGTTGTGCCGTTATTGAGGTTGCAATTTTGGGGGTTCTTAAAAAATGTCCAACTTTACCACGCGCCACGTGCGGTGGTTGGCAAGAACGCATGGTGGCCATCACACCACAGAACTTTTACGTCCAAGTGACATTTAGTAAAGAAGACCGCTTGTCAATCGGATGTCCCGTTCCTAAGATATTAGCTTTTGAAGAGCGTCCCCACGGCCGGCCGGCCGGCCGGCCGGCCGCTCATACTCAGGATTTTCCCTTAATTCAGTATGAGACTCCGCTCGCTTCGCTCGCTCCGTAACTATAGGCATTTGGCACCAGCTTGACCAAGGGCATGAACTTCACAGTTGCACAACCTTTTGTTTTGTCATGTACCACCAGTCATTTTTTTTGTGCACCAGTCACTTTTTTGTGCACATAGCAGTGCACACAACAATGTGCAGAGGGCCTACACAAAAACAACATGATTAGTGTGCACTATGCACAGCATTGTACCCTGATTATTTGAATATTTTGACCACTCAACAGTCAACAGTCAGGAGATAATTATCTAATACCAGTATAACGCCTTTTGGGGCGACTAACGGAGCGAGCGAGAGGGTGGGCCTTGCACGTGCGAAATTGCGAGGGGGTACCTCCAACTGACTTGCGCACGGCACCCTACTAACTGGTCTCTAGCGATGTGCCAAATTTGGGCACAATCGGCCCAGCCGTTCTCGAGATCTGGAAGCGGCACCCTGCACGTGCGCACGTGCAAAATGGGTCCCAACTGGCTTGTGCACGGCACCCTACTAACCGGTCCCTAACCGTGTACCAAATTTGAGCGCAATCGGTCCAGCCGTTCCCGAGATCTGGAAACGACCCCTGCACGTGCGCACGTGCAGCAGCACCCCAACTCTGGCACATGTATATGCAGTGCCTAGTGGGTGCCTACCTACATGCCAACTTTCAGCGCAATCGGCCAAGTAGTTACCGAGATATTGCAACAATTACAAAACTGACACCTCTTCGTTTTGCACGTGGCACGTGCATAAGGGGTCACCCACATGCATCGGGAATAGTCCAATACTTGGTAGAAGGAATGAAGCTACCCTACAAAAATTATTGCGTGTAAATCGGTCAAGTGGTTGCTGAGATATAAGCCTCGCAAAAGCGTGACCACGGCCGGCCGGCCGGCCGCTCATACTCAGAAATTTCCGTTAATCTAAGGAAAGACTACGCTCGCTTCCCTCGCTCCGTAATCACATTTATTATAATAATAATAATAATAATACATGTTTATTTCATACCATACGTGGTACATATAGGCGAACACTAAAACAAACACACACAGACACACCACCAAACAACCAATACACAAGCCAGGTACTCTTTCCTCAGAGAGATGCACTGGTCATAAGACACGGTTGCGTCGTTCCATAACGAATCTTGCTATGTGTGCAACAAAAACATTGAATAGATCTGGCGACGAAGTGGCATATAAGTTGAGATTCAGCAAATCGTACTTTTGGCGATGTTTTGTATGCATACGGGCAGACAAGCCGTTGCTCCCGATGGAACTGGCTAGCAAGGCCACAATCAGTGTGTTGGAGGCCTGTGAGAGTCGAAGCCAAAAGACTAACTGGCGATAGGTGATTTGCATTGGGCAGGTCAGCATGTGAAGATCGTGACACAGATCATGATTCCTACTCCACCGAGGGACTTTGACAAGCTTCTTGAGACAACTGTGGTATGCTATACACAACTCTCGAAACGTTTGCTGGTCACGATACACGTTCCAGAGCTCACTTTACATTATACATCACTTGTCAAACAAAAGCATGATGACACACATTTTGACAAGCAATCATGGTAGTATTCCAATAAGTTGGACAGTCACCTCCCTGGGCGTCATTTTTCCGGGAAGGTACCTCTGCAGTGTTGTGGTAGGCTAGGTTGAATTGGGTTAAGTTAGGCGAAGTAAGGTGGTTAGGACCAGGTCAGACCGTAAGGCCTGGTCAGGTTGATTTTAATCTTTCATTCTAATTTGACATAGATACCTATTCCCTATGTTTTTGCTCCAGCCTGAATTTCATTAGGTAATGAGTTAATTTTGCTTTGTTTTTATCTGTCTTGTTTTGTGTTTTTGTCCCTTATATTTTGCCCCATAGGCAAGGGTGGATCTTTTCCAGGAAAGGTGGTGGAGCATGATTGGAGGCGCTCAACCAGACGGCATAGGAGGGCACGATTTCTGAACGCGCACTGATGCCTGATTCAAGCCACGCTGTCTTCATGCGGGGCGGCGCGCTACTTAAAAGTCCCTAAAAGAACGGGAAATGATGCCGATAGAACCTTCAATCATTCTGGGCTAACGCTTATGACTTGGAAAAAGTCGCGATCCCAATTCAATCGAAAACCTGTGGGCTCTTGTTCAGCAGGAGGTGTATGAAGAGCCACCCGCCATAAGCACTGCTCAACCGCAGGCACAGGTTTAGACGGCGTTGGTCCGCATCAAAGCCAGTGTGCTGGAGAATTCATTGGCTGAAATGCTCCAGAACGTTCACCACTGTGTTTTTATGAAAGGTGGCTACAAGCTCAGTTAAAAGAAAAAGTACCAGATTGTTTTGCTTTTTAATTACAGCGGGAAGAAAGGTGTCCGGATAATTTCGTTACACCCCCTGTAATGTTCAAATCCTCCTCCTATAATTGGGACAACACAAGAGCCCGTTGGAGGGAGGCCTGAATAAAAAAATAGTTGCTAAATTCGAAATCAGCTCCAAAAACTAGCCTAGAAACATGTAAAACTCGAAAAAGGAACCGAGGTCATCAAAGGTCATTGAGCTGACCTGACCTTCAGGTGACCTTGACACCCACCCTAATGCATGGGACCAGCATCATATCACATGTTTCAACGCTTGAAACCACGTGAAGACTGCAACCGCGCGGCTAATGCGATCCGACATACGCCGAATCGCGATTCGGGCCAAACATGGTCTCGAGAAATAGGTCACAGGTCAAAGGTCATTAAGGTCAGGGTCATGAAATTTTCAGGGTAGGTGTAAAATTGATAAAATCGGGGGCATTGAAATTTTCGTCGCGATCGGACGGTTTTTACACGAGTTACTCACGAAAAACCGATAAAGCGCACCCAAAAAGGCAGAAATATGCACATGCGATATCCTATACTGCAAAAAAGTGCATCATTTTTTAACGTCGCCGACAAATTGTAATTACCCTAAGCTCAGGCAGATGTATGGAAGAAAATGCCCCAAGTGAAATACACTACGGCGGAAATAAAATACCCTACGGCGGAGCTCGGTTGCAATTTGTAAATACGCAGGCGGCACGGGCGGACATCGATAGTAGCGCCTCTATCGGTCACTAGGGAAAGCTTGGCTGTAGGCGACGAAATACCGGCTGAGTTGTCACACGTTGAATAGGTTTAGGCATAGACATCAGTCTTGTGAAAAAGTTGAACTTTTGCCTTCAATATTTCTACAGGCAATTTTAGAAGTGTCTTCACATAGATTACAAAACCATTTAGATTATTCTATTCACTTCAAGCCTTTCCTATTGTTCTTGACGAGATGCGGGAACTATTTCTAATTAGTGTTTCTAGCTTAGTAAAAGAACATATTATGCAAACGATGAAAAGCATAAATGGATGATTTTATATGCAATTTTTTCTAACAATTAATGGTAAATTATCTACATATCAAGGAAAAGATGCATGCTAACTGATAAATTAAAGTTCTTGGGGCCAGTTGTTTTCCTCTTTTCTTACGTCGCCCCAATGGCCGCGAATACACTAGTGATAACGCCTATCGACTTACCGACAGGAAACTCATCGCACGCGATCTCTGAACAATTAAAAGCTTTCGTAGGGATGGGTTGGGTTAACATCAACACCGGTGGCGGGGTTACCCACACAATTTGTAGGCGGCAAATATGCAAGGTATTTTTAAAAGTCGTGATACATGAAAACCTTTTAGGAGCATGCAAAATAAGTACCTAAAACACGTGAGCAAATGTTTAAATATTGTAACCAAGACAATAACTACCAAGAGACTTCACACATATTCTCTCATTTTGGCGAAAAGCTTAGGGGGGCGGTGTTACCCCCGCTTCCCCTATAAGGCAATGGAGAAAAATGAAAATGCCTCTAGATCCGTGTGTACGCATAGGAACAGTCCAACTATTTCAGAATCACAATGATTTAGTCCACTCGTGATGACCAAGGTGTCATTTTTGCTGATAGCCTCTAGACAGGTCATCCGAGGTCACTTGAGGCTACAAACACTTTTTTTGTCAATAACTCGCGATTGGAAAGAGATAGAACGCTGGGGATGGTCTCATTGTGTTTGTCTTGTTGAGACGCATCGACTGATATGCAACATGACCTTTTCCGGTCAGGTCATGACCTTGACCTGAGGTCAAATTTTCAAGTTGACCTTTCAAGGTCAAATTATAGTTCATTCGACGCGTCTCGGCGAGGGGAACACGATTCTGGCAATAGAAATGCCGTGCCTTTTTGTAGTCAAAAGTTATTGTCGAAAAACACTTTTCGTAAAAACAGCTATTTTTGAAGTTTTTGCCCTCTGGAGGCTAAACCGTTGACCTGAGGTCAATATTGATTATGACCTTTTCAAAAGAAGAGCTCAAAAGCTATCGTTTTCTGTTCCATACGTTTTTCTAGCTACCATAGTTCCTGAGCTAGCGGCATGTTTTCTGAAAAATATAATGACAATCGGCAAATTTTGACCTTTGATGACCTCTGGTGACCCCAATATTGCTCTAAGGTGAAAAATGACTGAAATACTTTCAAACGTACGCATTGAGAGCTATCGACTGCTTTTTACCGCGTCTTTCTATCCCTCTTAGTTTTTGAGTTAGAGGTGGATGGTAACATATGCCCCCCCCCCCCCCCCCCCACTAGGGCGAAGTTGGCTGAGACCGCCACTGGGGCGCGGGATATATCACAGCCTTCCTTCGTCCACAGCTGCACTTCATACACTCATCCTTAAGCACACATCTATACATACATCCACAAGCATACACTTACCAGCACCCCTAAATATCTCTTCCCAAATCCCATTCCTTTGTCAGTCCAATATTGAGTCAAATCATGCACAGCACCGCTCTGGCATGCCACTTATCGACCCTATCCCTACTACTCATCCTTGAACTACATGTACATACAGTACCCACTCAAAATCCTATACATTCATCATCGAACCATACACAGCTCCATTGGAAGGCATACCTTCATCCTCGAACCATACAGCCAGCAGTCGGAACACCATTGCCCCGCACACGGCAGCGAAGAATCCGCGCCAGTAGTTTCGAACGGCAAAGTACACCGATGTGACTTCTATGCTGAACAGCACACCTGCCAGAAGCAGAGATGGTTTTGTTAGAGAAACGTTGCTGAAATACGAGTATTGCGATGGAGGTTGGTTTGGGTAGCATACGTAACTGTCTGGCATCGTTGTTTAACTATGCTTATTATTAATTAGCTCTTGCTACCACTCTAAAATGCCGATGATAGACCCATTACGCTAGACAATGCAAGATATCGAGGCATTACACAATGCAAGTGGTAAGGCAAGCCCGCCAGACTCCAGAGCGATGCGGAACAGCGCTAGTCAGTCGGGGCGCATCATCGTAGCTCCAAATTCTGCCGCTCTGAGCGCTGGGGTCACTGTCGGAGGTGTCGCTAGCTACATGATGGTCAGTCGGAACGGACCACCATGAGCTGCTAGAACAAGGGCACGTCAGCATTGCATAACGTAACGCAGACCCTAGCCTCAGTGTGCGCACGGTGCGTGAATCAAAGAAAACATCGCTCACAATAAGTCAGTGTGTTTTGTTTTGATTTGTTTCTGTTCTTGCTTGATTCAGCGAAAGGACGGTGTTTGTGAAGTTAAATGTGTCCGGAAACATAGGTATTTGAGTATCTTTTTTGCTACGTAACGGTGACGTAACTATTACGTAAAAAGAGACATCGGTTTTATTTTCTGCTAGCCTGTTCGCAATACGTTTTCATGCTGTCACTACTGAAGTCAGTCTGCCAATCGCTGTTTTCTTTCCGTACCCAAAAATGTTGATATCTAGCAAATCGGAAAGAGCCTTTAGCGAAAAAAAAATAAAACCCCTGCAGTTAAAAGAGGCAGTCTCTTAAGCGTGCAGTTATTCTAGACGAGCCTATGCTATCAAACATCCGCAAGCATGTCACATCCAGAACTGAATTTACTTTGCTATTGTTAAGACCCCATTTTCATTAGCAAAACGATAACTAGGTGTGAACCCCTGCAGTAAAAAAAATGAAACAAATTTACAAAGCTCTCAGTAGGGCTATCGGCGGACCCTACCACCCGTAGGGGGCGGGGGCGTTTCGCCCCCCCCCTAATATTTCGGAAATTTACCGGCCGATTTTCAAAATTCAAACGGCGTTCGATGGCCCCATCGGGGAACTACCATGTGACCAAATTTCATTGACCTAGGTCAAACCGATGACTCACAGGTCAGGTCAAACGTCGGATTTTCACCGTTCACAGGCATTTCAAGAAATGTGTTGTGAAGTCGAGTAAATTGGTAAGTTATTGAAAACCATCGATGGTACATTGCTCGTCAAACACATACTTTGCTCTCTGAGGTCACTGATACCAGGTCAGGTAACAGAGGTCAGGTCACTGGGGGTCACAATGTCAAAGTGTCGTGTGATACATGTTTTATGGTCCATTTTACATGACAAATGCGATTATGTGGGTCAGGCAGCCTTTGGGGCCAGCTTATGTCACGAATTGGTAAAAGTCAGGTCAACGGCAGGTCAAATTAGGTCAAATGTGAAAGTTAATATTTTTGCATAAAATGGGTATCGATTCGATGCAGCTCGTCACAGAGAGTCTAATGGTGGTCTTTGTTTTGCTATACATGGCCTAGAATTGCCAAAAATTGAGTTTGAAAATTTTACGTTATCATTTTTGAACAGTTTTTTTCGCTATACCTAACTTGGCCAAAAAGCGAGATATCGATCTGAAATTATGCGGTGAAATTATGTGGTATGCGGATAGAAGACGGTAAGTACTATCACATATACATATTCCGATTTTTTCGAAACTAAAAAAAATGATTTTTTGGCTAATATATAAAACATGTTTTTTTTTGGGGGGGGGCTCAACAATGAAAATTTTCAAAAATCCGACATAGTCATTTTGTAGCCCTGTCGATTCCACACCTTTTATGTCTTAATCATTTTTCTGTATCTTCAAAACTGTAGGCCTGAGAGTCTCGAAGGTCTTTTTTCGGTCGAAAATGGCAGAACATGACGTCATTCTGACGTCATTTGTGGCCAACCTATCATAGCCTCTGGAAAAATTATTGGTCACAATGTGTAAAATTGATGCCCGGAGGGGTCCTAAAAGTTTGGTGGCGATACCTCTAGTCGTTGAGGAGATATCGACGGAAAAGGACAGGGGGGGGGGGGGGCGTTTCGGCTCCCCCTACGGGGCGCGGGTTAAAGAATATATTTTTTGGGAATAAAGCAAAACTTGTCTTCCGCTTAGAGAGAAAAACTTTGTTTGTATACCTTGCTCTTTCACACGGAACATCTGGGTCAAGTTCAGTGACTTGACCACTACAATACAATCGAATGGGAAATGCGAAAAATGCACATTATACACCTATCTGTGCTGTATGTCTTTCTCTCCACGTCTCTGTCTTCCTTTCCCGCTCCCCCTTCCTCTCCCTCTTTCAACTTCTCTCTCTCCCTCTTTCAACTTCTCTCTCTCTCTCTCTCTCTCTCTCTCTCTCTCTCTCTCTCTCTCTCTCTCTCTCTCTCTCTCTCTCTCTCTCTCTCTCTCTCTCTCTCTCTCTCTGTCTCTCTCTGTCTCTCTCTCTCTCTCTCTCTCTCTCTCTCTCTCTCTCTCTCTCTCTCTCTCTCTCTCTCTCTCTCTCTCTCTCTCTCTCTCTCTCTCCCTCCCTCCCTCTCTCTCTCTCTCTCTCTCTCTCTCTCTCTCTCTCCTTCTCTCTGTCTCTCTCTGTCTCTGTCTCTCTCTCTCTCTCTCTCTCTCTCTCTCTCTCTCTCTCTCTCTCTCTCTCTCTCTCTCTCTCTCTCTCTCTCTCTCTCTTTCTCGCTCTCTTTCCTTCTCTTCGTTTCGTTTTCTCTATTTTCTCTCTCGTTCTCTCTCATTCACACACAAACAGGCAGTGATATTTCAATTTAGCCCGTCCACCAAGCCTAAAATACCATCAAAACTGTTCGGAGCAGACTTCTGTTCAGAAAACAAAACTGCACATTGTGGCTAGATGCGTCCTCATTTGAATGCATTGTGAAACACTCCCGCTAGAGGCAAACATCATCATCGTTTTCAGCGTGGTTTCATATGGGTTTTCTCTCACTATACCAGCTCTCTTCAAAAAATTACATCAAACAGTGGCGCAAGCAAAGATGGAAACGAATAATAACCCTCGCACTTGTCGGGGGGGGGGGGGTCGGATGGACCACCCCATCTTGGTTTTTTCGCAAATATCTACCTCACGCAAAAAGCGGCCGATCACGACGAAAATTCTAGTGCCCTCGAGATGATCACTTTAACACCTACTCTAAAAATGTCATGACCTTGACCGAAATGACCTTTGACCTGTGACCTATTTCTCGAGACCATGTTTGGCCGAAATCCCGATTATGCGTAGGAGCTATGACAAAAAAAGTAACGGGAATTTCTTTAGAACCTTAGAATTAAGAGAATTACCAAGAAATTTCTTATTGCCCCATTTTAATTAATTCTCTCCCAAGCACATGCAACATGGTGTTTGCTTCGGCTAAGCACGGAAGTAGTCGGCAAAATCATATTCTTTTAGGGGTTTCATAACCCTCGTCACGGTGTTCTTAACCCTCGCCCTGGCAGGGCATTTTTCATAACACGGCCTGGCAGGGGGGGGGGGTCGATGCGACCCCCCCCCCCCCTCGCGATTGGCTCCTATGGCACCTAGAAACACCAAATTTGGTAGGTAGGTGGGCCCCCTGGAGTTCTCGCCCCTGTGCAAATTTGGTTGCTCTAGGTCAATATTTAGGGGGTTTTGGGGGGTATAAATGTAAAAATTTCGCTAAAAACAGGTCAAATGTTTTTCGCTTATAACTTTTGATCTAATTAAGATAGGGCAAAAGGAAAAGCACCAGTGAACTCAGCACGTCAAGGCGCGTCGAATGATATACTTTTTAGCTTGCTTAAGTGTACTTAAAGTTTTTCTTAAATTTTAAGTAAACTTAAATTAATAAATTAAGTTCAAGTTAACCCGCGCCCGGCTGGGGGTCCTGGATTTCCACGCCCTGCTGGGGGGGGTGTTTGAACACCCCCCCTTGTAACTCGGCTCCTGGGCCACGTAGCGATACGCGGAAGGCGGCGTTCGAAAGAGCGTCAAAAATAATGACGAAATCACTTCGGTCAATTTTTTGGTCAGGTCAAAGGTCAGGTCACCAGAGGTCATTGAAGGCAAAATTTCGCCGATTTCCAGGTCGAATGTCGAAAATTTCCAAGAAGCCAATGCATAACTCGAGAACCAATAGAGTTACAGCGCCGCGGAAAAGAGCATTCGATAGCCCTATTAAAGCCCTTTCTGAGTAATTCTCTCAGATTTGACCTAACGTCAACGGTTTTGCCTGCAGGGGGCAAAAATTGCAAAAATAGCCGATTTTTTCGGAAAAAGTTTTTCTGCAATAACTTTTGACTCAAGCCTTGTACGAGCTTACTTTTACCGGCATTGTGTTCCTCTCGTCAAGACGCATCGAATGAACTATAAGTTGACCTTGAAAGGTCAACTTGAAAATTTGACCTCAGGTCAAGGTCATGACCTGACCGGAAAGGGTCATGTTGCATATCAGTCGATCCGTATCGTCAAGCTGAACACATCTAAGGCGTTTTCATCGCTCTAGCATGCCTCTATCAAAAGTTATTTGCGAAAAACTGTTAGATACCATTCGTGACCTAAGATGACCTCAGGGCATAAACAAGGGTCACTGACACCATTTTCATGTTCAGTGTGTCTGAACCACTTGTAATTCGGTGTTTGGGAGTGTTTATAATGTCTTTTGTCCAAAAGAGGCGCATTTCAATTTTCTCCCATTGACTTATAATGGGGAGGTCGCAAAATTGACCTGACCTTAGGTCATCGATATCAAAATTCTGAGATAAACATTTTGTACATGCTATTGCTCTTAGCAATCGCTGAAAGTTTCAAAGCGATCGGTAACTCGGTGTAGCTATGGAAGACATTGAAACTTTTTATGAGGTGAGGTCACTTCAAGTGACCTGGTGACCTGACCTTGAATGACCTTGGTCTGAAATTTTCACAACATGTGTAGAATTGATGTACGATAAGGTGTACCAA